AAGCAAAAGGTCGTGATCGAATGCAAGGAATTATTTCTGATTTAGTTGCCCCCATTTATAAGATTTCCGGCTTATTATTATAAGATATTTATGAGGTAATTTGAACACAGTAGAAACCAAAAAACTATACGGATCAAGTTTTCATTGTTCAGTAAACATTTTTTCTGAAAATGTGGACCTGAAAATGTACAAATACTGTTCCTTAGTTTGTATCGATTGAGCTCGTTTTCGACGTATATAAGCAACCATATCCGGTACCACTAATTCATTGCCAGCTACCAGTTGCATTAAGCAAAGTTCAATTGCAACCAAAGTACCACTGCGACCTATACCGGCACTGCAATGCACCACAGTACATGTTGGTGAAATGCGTGATTTTTTCAGCAAGTAGAACGGCGTCTTGTAATCATTTACTGGTACCTGAAATGATTCAACCTTTATAGTGTTTATATTATTTTTGATAAAATTAAGTGAAACCTGAATACCTTTTTGTCAAGCCATGATGTCCATTGGTAATGCATTACGGTGAGATTTGCATTTTCCCGACTAAGCAATAATTGCGTCATGATAATATCACCACTTTTTGACCTATTACGTTCCCGTAATTCAATCCGTATTCCGGCATGCACAATTGCGCGAGTTTGAAGTCTAAATTATAAAGGAATTTCATCTTCTACTGATAATAAATATTTTTACTTTACTACTTGGAGTAATAAAGTAATAAAGAGTTTGGATTAATACATTAAAATCTTGAAAGATGTTTCGGAATTTTGGCATCTAATTAGCTTATTGATATCAATGTTATGCAAACAAAAGGAATGAAGTCAATCCGGCAATGGTGTGAAAATAATTTCCTGGTACTTGATAGAAACATGGGTTTGAAATAGTTTAGATATACTAAAATTGAAAGTTGATTTAGTCATTTTCTAGAGTTCCCTTATCAATGAGACTTGAGCAAACTGATTATTTGATTTTAATTTTAAAATAGTTTCTCATTTAATAACTAACGTTGGTAAATATTCAGCACACTTCACTTTTTGCTCTTCAACATATCTGCAAAGCATGAATATAAGTCCGGATCGTTCCTGCCAAACCATTTCCCAAAAATCGTTTATTGTGTTCGGTAACGGACCCTATTAATGTTAAGAATATTGATTGATACTGCCGGGAATAATTTGAAACGTTGATTGCAATTTTATTCAAAGAGTAATAACAACTAAAGTTAGTGTAAATAAAGCAAAAATAAACATTAGAATATAATGAAAATCAATTCGTCATCCTTAAAAACCCCCGGAAATCATAAAAAGAAATTTAAGAATCTTTCAGTTGAAATTTTTTCTCCACTTCAATGTATTAGAGAATTGAAAGTGTTAGATACTTGCGTAATAATGAAATCATTTTGAAGAACTTTATGGCGAACATAATTAGCATGTATGTATTCTCCATCTCCGTGACGTAAAATAACTCTGGAACTATCCAA